CTTTTAACCAATTAAAGGGGGAGAAGAACGGACGAAAATCTCCATTCCCGCATTTAACCTAATTTCATCTAACTTCCAAACTCTTGAAAACATTCGGAAATGAAGTCAAATGTTTTCCATCAAAACGTGACAAATATAAAGTTACCAACTTAACACTCAAAACAAAAAACTTCTCTCCGTTATTTTCTTAACTCGAATCCAAAAGTTGGGTCTTCCGCAAAAGACTTCATTTCGTTTCGACTCCAAACTTAGTTGCGCTTTGAATATTATTTTATTGGACCCCTTAAGAAGTGAATCGACCAAAGTTTTTGAGTTTAAATAAGTTTACGATTGTGCACAAGTTTTTGCAAAACATGACGTTTAAAAAATAAGCTGAAGCTCAGTGGCGTGCTTTTGAAGAAGTCATTGTCTGAGCAAGTGGACAAATATGGGCTGATTTCTGATAACATTTATTGAAAGGCCTTTGTCGTCACATTGACGCCATGATGCGGGCTAATGATCAATTTTAAGTTAAAGCCAATTTAATAGAATCTGACGCTGGTCTAATAACAAAAGAACTTCCAGAAATCCACGTGCATTTAACCAAAAGAAATTCCAAGTCTCTCCAATATTTCTGAGAATGACAAAAACAAGCACATTACACAGAAGCATAAACCACAAACCACAATACATTGTGTTTCGTGTACAACTGAATGTCTCGAACCGAACTACCACTTAGCACGTACAATCGATCATATCAAAGTTCAATAATAAACATTCATGAGCAAACGCATTCTGACATTTCTGGCTACGTTAATGATTGGGGATCTGTTCCAACGAAAAACAGGGTACTTCATTGTCAAGAAATGGAACTCAGTCACGACATTTTGAGGAATAAACAAGAAACACGAATGAAAAGATAACAGACAAGCATTTATTGTTAGATAAAAAAGGAAAGTAAAGGTGAATTTGTTTGTCTGATACGATTTTATGAATGCAAATGTAGAGATAGATATGATCTCAAGCAAAACAAGGTTGAAATAGAAAATGAGGGGTGACAAATTGATGGAGAAAATCTGTTGACAGTTTCTTAACAATATCACATTGTTTTTTGGAGAAGGTTGGAATGATTCACTCCCCTTTTGTTATTCATTTTATTGCTATTTATGCGTATAGGGATGGAACTAGGTGAAAGAAAAAACATTTTGCTCAGCTCAATGCTCTAAATAGACTAGTTTAAAGTTTAAGTTAGACGAATTAAATCAACCTAGCTCATCAATATCAATTGGGTACTTGTCAACTAGTCAAATTCAATACATTTTTCGAACTATCAATAACTACAGTTTTCTGTGAATACTGTACGAGATTGTGTATGTGACGTCACGTTTTTTTAGCGTCGAACAGCATACTTATTTCGAGAAAAAATACTAGAAAAATACTAATATTAATATCAATTAATGATAGAATGATTATTTTTTAATATTTTATTGTATTTTTGATTAAGGAAAGTACTCAATTCCCTAGCTAAAGCTTTATATGATTTCATAAAACATCCCGATATTTTTATAAGGAAATACATGATCAGCAGTCAAATGATTTTCAAATTCCTATCCTTCCTATGACAGATACAAAAGCAAATATGAAACGTTAACAGCATTTACAATTCATTGTTCAAATTACATTGCTTGAAGATTCCCATATCAACAGACAAGACATAACTAGACAATGATGACTCACCAGACCCTGCCTGATTGCCTGCTGACGACGAGAACGGGTCCCACAGATGTGATTACGACCACCTCAACTCTTATTTAAATCCTTATCTCCACAATACTAAGGTCCACAATGCATTACACGAATCAGAAGCAATTAGGGTTATCATTAAGCAAGATTATTGGCGAGAGGTTGTTTTGTGTTGTATGATTTTGTTGAGATTGCGTAAGATGGCACTTAAGTCTGTTTCGGAGATAACACTTTTTGTGTTGAAAACATTAAAGTTAATTGGTGCTGACTCACAATTCCAATTTACCTATCTCGGCAAAACGTGTACAGACTACCGATTAAGGATTTCGTTCCAATGTTTTCATTTAATGTTCGTGTAAGCACGTAACTTAATTAAACGGAGGGCAGCCCTATTCTTTAATTTAGTTTTTAGCCTAAATGCGTAACTACTTATTTGGATTATAGACTTAACAGGAAATTTAAGTTATACGGATATTATCACAAATACTGGCATAAATGGAATAAACTTTAGCCTAGTAGTGTTTGCAAATAGATTTTAACTATTAAACTCCTTTCGAAGTACTTAAACACCATTGCCCAGTTCAAAGCATTCTACGAATAATAGCTACATGCCAATAAACAGACTGGCAATAAGTGCCCAACCCACATCCTCAAAATTGGAGCATTCTCAATACACCTGCTCATATACCTTTACATTCATACCAACCAGGTTACTATATAAATCAACTGCTCTATGATATCTGTATAAATCAATGCTCAACATTAAATTGGTTTTATGTAAATGCTTTTAAAATCGATTTCATTCAACACGATCGGATATTCGAAGCAAAGGTGTACATCAAAATACAGTATCATTATCAACATTATCCACTTTTTAGGGGATCTGACAGTGTGAGTCTTTATGTAAAGGATACTCGAGTTTAAGTTTAATGATATTAAAGTTTAGAATCGCCAAATTGCTACTTTTCTGCTAAGTACCAGACTGAGCTCTTACATAAAAATTTAAATGCGCAATATTTAGTTCTATACTATCTGTGTAACAAGTTGAAAAAACTGTTATAAATAAATATGAACTATTTCCAGAACCACGAGGAAACTGTGCATACAAAATATAGTGTAACTATTCATGATCGTATTTCCTATTATTATCTAGCAGCTTGTTAAGTACAAAACATAGTCAGGTCTTCAAAGGCCGTGTTCGGTTTACCGCAGTGCATCAAAGGTAATCCTATACCGCTGTACTGGCACAGGCGTTACGTAAGTACCTGGTGGATTTATACAAAAACCCCCATAAATGGAGGGATTTTCGCAGAGACAAGGATTACATTTTCTGCGGAAAAAGGGGTACTTTGCAGTTTTGCGAAGGTATTTATCATGTCATATGAATATGTAGGTAGGCATGTGTTTTCCAGTGTCATCTCTTGCGTTATTATAATGTTATTTCAATGATAACTATGTCATAATCTATTTTTCCTTCCTCTATCTTATCGTATATACATCAAATATCCCCTAATTTTTTGAAGATTCATGATTTTCTTTAGAAGAAATTAAGGATAATGTAGACAGCAGTTTTAAATCACTATCGGTAGAGCTACTAACGACATAATGGACACTATGCCTTAAGCGTCCATTAAGTTACCATATCTCCATGGTAACATTTCTTAACACCATTCATTCAAGACCCGCCACGAACAAGTTCTAGTCTACTGAGTACTCCATAAACCACATTAAGCTGTAATTAGCCGTAGCACGAGCCACTAAAGCTGTCACTGTCATAAATCACAGCTTCGAACAGTGCGCAACAAACGCCGGAAACTCGCCATAAAAACAAACAGAGACGCATTCAAAGAAAGCAATGCTATAGAACGAGTGCACTCGTCAATCATGAGCGTATAAACATTTCAATTCGAACTGTGTTAAAAGAGTTTTTACGTTTTTCTAGTTTTCGTAACCTTCGGTTGGGGATTTCGGGATCATTATTGAGGCATAAGAAACTTCTATCAGTCCTTATCCGACGTGATTTTTCTTCTCATTTGTTTATGGGCAGTGCAAAAAATAACTCACATTTAGGGCATAGGGCATTCAAGTTCAAATCCTTTTTATACATTTTTCACTTTGTCTAACAAAATGTTATATTTTTATCTCGTACCGCAAAATGTGCGGAGGGTGCTACATATTTTTCGGTCATGAGCAACATTCTAAATTGAGATTTATTTAGGCTAACCACTCAACATCAAGGGATTCGACCCTTTTATCTCATTGTCACATGACACAAGATCATGTGGTTGACAGAGTCTACTAAAAGCCTGTTAATTAATACAATCTCTTACATTCATCGTCATAGTTGAAATGGCAAAAATTAAGATGTCACCAGTAAATATGTATTTAGCATTATTCCTTGTAGGAAATATTTTCTTTCCCATTCACGGCAATCTTGTAGACAAGATCTAATACATCAGCTTACTAAAATTAAATAGTGGTGTGGTGTGACTAATTAACGAAACATATCCCAACTTGTGAATCTAGGGATATCATTAAGCGTTCGTATTAAAAATATTAATGAGAACCTATTAGACAATTTACGAGGAAATTCCAACTACACACTTAGCTGTCTAATCAACTAACCAGATAGTTGCCGTACCTTATACCATCGAGATTCCTGGTAAAATCGTGATCAAGCTGTGTTTAGCTTGGAGTTTATTCGTTCCAAGAATATAAGCCAAGAAGCATACGGAATCTCGCAAATCGTAACCTTTGCTAATAACTAAACCAGTTTCTATAGTAGAGAAAATATTTAAATGGACGTCCAGGGGTTCCAAAAGTTTGTTTTATAAAATTAAAGTAACATATTTGCAAAGCCTTGTCTATCTAGACAACGACATTACAATTATTTTTTTCCTGTTTTGAAGTCAATCATAGATTTAGGATGACTCCTACCTTTTAGGTGCCATACATTACCTAATAAGGGACTCACAAAGGAAATCACATATTGAATAGTTCCCGTAATTATATTTCCAGTAGTATCTGAACGGAAATGTCTAGCGTTGGCGTGGACCAATGTCACCCGGTCAGTCAGATACCACGATTAATGTGGGCACAGATTGTGTCATTGTCAATTATAGAAAGGGTACTCCCTAGTCCCTAGAACTACTATTCTAAATACTTAGTAGGACAAAAACACCAAAAAACAATAAAGGAGAATAAAAAAATCTAATTTATCATTAAAGAGAAATTAGTTAGAGTACTAGCTATGTTATCTATGTTTCCAGGTATCTTACCTCGTCTGCGGGCTTGGTGGGTGTTATGGCGACGGTCTCGTTGAAGCATAAGCAGGCGCAGTAATGACGGTTGGCGTCCACATCTGTCAGGACAGACACGTAGAACCGGGGCTCTGTCCGTTCTGTCGAGAGCGCCCATCCTTGCGGCTGGCAGAACTGGTGGAAAAAGGCAAATAGACTATTAATTAGAGGAATTCCAGAACAAACGAACCAGATATTCGATTACAGCAGAGTTGACTGTCTACCTGATGTCTACAGTTTCCATTGCCATCAAAAAGGAAGATATATAATGGGTTTTTTTACCTACATAAGATATGGCTACGGAACAAGTTAGAAAAATCTACACTAAACGATATTCGATTGCTGTCCAAATTCATTTCATTCAATTCTTTATTCGAAGTCCCTGAGGCATTGGTACAAAGTGTACCAAGCAAATACAGTTGAAAAGGTCTCTATTTATTTAAGTCTCAACATTCGATCGAAGTTAATAGAGATCCTTCGTTTCAATTACTCATGCGAACTTTGGTCATTCCACGACATTGAACTGGTATTATTGCTGGCCCTTCTCCGAATTGCTTGTCTTGAAGGATAATGCAGACGTGCGTACATTTTAATCAATACTGGTAGATGATGTTTAATTAATGGTTTGATGGTATTATTTAGTTCTCAGAAGTTTAAAGAACAGAGCAGATTTTAGCATAGATAGTTTAGATATAAACAGAACTTAGAAGCAAAGCAAAGATTTTGGAGCAAATAAAAAATAAAATACCCTCATCGTAACAAGAAAAATATCAGATGTTCCATTATCACACGAAAGTTACGAAAATGTCTTTAGATTTGGTCCCGTCAATAAATCTTTCATTCGACTAAAAAACTTCTGACACTATTCCTTTTGAACCTTTCTAGAATTCTCTTTCGCGAAATTCCTAATCTGAAAACATTCGCCCTTTTACGCGCATTCTACAGCTACTGAGATGCCAATAAAAGGCGTTATTGGCGAAAAGGGCATTTCTACGTAAAAGCTTCAACAATTGAGATTGCCTAGTAACAGTTTCTTTGAGCCTTCTACGTCGTTAGCCTTCCACTTCCATTCGTCTGAGAAGTTGATCGTTTGTTACTTGAAATTGCTTGCAGTTAAAATCACCAATAGACCAGGAACATGAACGGTGGAGTTTGTTGCTTTTAGACAAAGATAAATAAGCGTTGTTAACCAGTTCTTGGAAAAAATTGTTCCGGGATTAGTGGCACTATTTAGGTATGGCACGCATTAAAGTCTCATGACAGTCATGAATATGTTCGTTTGATCATCAACTTCATTATATCTTGGTATTGAATTTTGGAAAAGAAACCAAATCACTTCACCATCCATGTGCCCAAAAGAATTCATTAACAATAGCCGAACAATCAGAGTCAAACGGAGATTGTATGCACGTTGCTATCCAGGGTACACAGCGTCGCGTTAATTAATAGTGTCTGTTATAGCACGAACAGGAAAACAACGCTAATTGGTGTCAAAGGATTCACGGGCGCGTGAACATCCCAGTGTCGGGGACAATCTCAAATATCTCACGTGTCTCTAATTATGAGAAGACCTTCAGCCCCTAAGGGACGAACAATTGTGTTATGAAATGGAAATCAATAAGGATCTGTTTCTATGAAGGCCAATCTCAAATAAGTAACTACCTATTTGAATGATTGAAAATGTACTTGACTGCTGGTACATCATAATTAATATATGAAAGGAAAACACGAAAAATTCACTTCCCATCTCAATATGAATTCTACAATTTCCCGTGGAAATTGCAAAAACCAAAAAATTGTATTTTTACTTGGGAAATCATTTACAGTATCTTAAGTATTATTTGTCCGTGGTGAAGTTAAATCGAAGCGGAGGTGTGATTGTAAAACTAATTTCCAGATAGAGCAAAACAAACAATAATTAAATAATTCGTGGTTGTCAACCATTACAATGAATCTAACAACTTTCGAAAAACCATCTACGCACCGCATTTGTTAACCAATCTATATGTGAGATGTTATATGTATAGTCTTATTGGAAAAGATAGACACTAATATCCGTAATATCGATATGAGTGACGACGGTTGTCAAATTACTCAGCACTCCCTAACTATATGGCACCGGCACCCCTCTGCACAACCAGCGCGTCGCGTAATTAACGACTTGTTGACAAACAATAGACCGATATAATTGGAGTGTTACCGATATTACTAGTGAAGTGTTATTGCATTATCGACTATGATGGCACAATGTCGGTTATTTCTTGTTTGGTAATTGTCTTCACACGTTTTCTTGAAGTCACGGGGTTTTATTGATTGCAATTAGATTCCATTTAGATTAGGTTGATATTTCATGTGCTTTTTGTAACAGAATGTGGTATTTCAGAGAGAAACATGTATCTTTTTGGTAATAAGACCCCAGATTTAAAAAAACGGGTGAAGATGTTAAAATCATGGACATTGTAAAAGTCGACAAACATAAGATCTAGCATCCTTTTCCTTTTCCTGCCCTGATCCTAAAGTTACCTACTTGGAATTGGGGTGTCAGCACCAATGAATGCACCATAAATATATTTTCTTTTCACATTCACAGGAATTAAAAAAACCACTTCATTAAATTATCAATTATTTTGTCCCTACTTCTAGTTAAAGTCAGAAGCTCTTACTAAGATGGGACAGATGATTACTTACCCATCCTATACCGTCGTGGAAGGGTGTGTCGTCCCAGTTGATCTCGGGAAACCGTTGAAGGACAACGCCGCTGTTCAGACCGCCCCCTGAAACAATAAGCAAAATATAAGAATACTGTATGTAGGTCGATATATCTGAAGGTTTTGAGATGCAGGGTCCAAATATTGAAATTGTTTTGAGGTCTGTGGCACGTCCCAGGCTCTGGGGCGTTTAGACGCAGATTTTATTTATTTCCATTAAATAGTATAACATTACAGTCATAAAACCAAGGCGTTATACATTTCAAATAATTATATAAAAGAAAAAAAAACAAAACAGAACAGTCCTTAAACAAAACAAACAATAAGAATAAGAAAACCTTATAAACTAACAAACTAACAGATGTAAAGGTTTAACAAATTCTGAGAGAATATTGGGATGATATAATTGCAAGTCCCGATTTGGTAACTCAATATTTGTAGTAACAGTTTCTAGGCCATGAACATAGTAGTGGTAAGGGCACAATGTTAGTAGCAAAACAAGTATGTATTAAGAAGATACGTACAGAAGAAAATAAGACGACATAGTTACTTTAAGTTTTAACACACAGAACCACCTGTCAGGATATTTCAATATTTATCATAGTGAATAAAATTGCTTACAGCTTAAACTGGTTAACACCTACTAATTGACGACAGATTGACGTTAAATACTATCACCTACATGGAAAATATTGTATTTTCGCAACGATTGACCGAAACAATAGCCTATTATAGTTAACACAAAATTTTAATAAACCACAATTAAAACAATTCAAATACGTATTAAATACCTTATGTGGTGGTAAGTACTGTTTTTGATTATGCCTATGATATATGATGTAGAGGTAGAAAACAAAGGTACCGGTTGTTGGTGCCCTAAGAACAATGTAATCGTTGTTATATTTATGCAAACTAACGGTTCGACACGCGTATTGTGTACTGGGAGGCCGGGTGCTAGTGATGGGTATGTTTTATGAGAAATTTATCGACGATGTTTGGTTCTGGCACATTTATAAGGGACCTAGCTTCGTAGAGTTAAAACCATTGTTAGTTGTATGCATTGCAAGGACTAAGTTGTATGCATTTTAAAGCATGTGACGAGACTATCAATAGGCTACCTTAATCCAAATCTGTGGAAATGAATACATTTTTGGAGTTTCTGTCAAAAATCGATCTAGTTCGAGCCATTAAATTGTCAAACACGAAGCGGTCACCGGTGACCGCAACCTATTGTTCTCCCGAGCATACGGCGCGTCGCGTTCCGCGCGTCAAAGTGTCATCAGACCACCACAGATGGGGCCCAATAGGGCCGATGCCGATTCGTAGTCGCGGAGAACCTAACGGGTAACCGGGGCTCCGACTCGACGTGCAGGAGAAGGAACTGGGTGGTTTTTAGTTAGTAAGAGTATGACACTCCCTCCCGCCTCACCCAGGCGGGAATAGTCATTCGATGATTTTCCCCCCTTAAAAAAAAAACCTATTGTTCTATAATTGTGTCTACAAAAACGGTACTTGACGAGTTAATGTAACTTACAAATAATTTTATAGCGTCAATTAAGAAGAAAGTTGTCGACACTAGTATTAAGAAAGTTGTCGACACTGCGCCTATCACAAAGTCATCAAAATCAAATGGACAACAAACTCTAAATAGACATAATTAGATAGTAAATACATAGTATTCAGAGTAATTGATCAAGCAACACCAAATCTGCTAAATATCCAGTCTATGCAAAAATTACGACCGTGCCGTACACCACTAAGTGTCATTCAGTAGATCACTGATTGTGTCGTCGGGACAATGAATGTGGGGCGTCCGTACTTGCAACACGCTTCAGCTCCTATCAATAGACCGCAAACACCATACATATTGGCATTCAATTTCCTTAAAATAAAGTTGTTCTAATAAACAGTAAAAAGTGGTAAACAAACAAAAAGGAGAAAGCTTACTTTCTTTAGGAAAGAAAAGGACTTCTGTTACACTTTCGGATTTTTTATCTTGGGAAAGTTAAGGGATTCATTCCTTCGCTGACAATGAAACGTCCTTGAGTAATGAAATAGAAATTGACTTCTATTATATGAAAGACCTCGTTACTATTCAAAATGGTTTTCAATTTGAACGAGTTATTGATCTATTTGTACGAACTTTCAATTTTTTCCTTTAGGTAATTCTATGTGCGAAAGAAAAACTTGTTAACTAAAACCTGTTTATTATGCTGTACAAGCCATAAAGCCGCAGGAGAGAAAGTACTAGTACTATTGTACTGGAGAAGACTCAACTGACACCTTTACATGCTAATCAGCGACATTAAACATGCCACGACTAAAATGAACTGAAACCTAGATACTAGATATTCATCCTAGATTATTAAAGAATGTTAAGTCGAAAGCTTAGCAAATTATAATAAGCTTTTAATCTTCCAATTAGAATGTAACAGGAAGTTATGAATATCAAATAATTTATTATATGAACCAATAAATTACTTTTTGGACCGACCTCCCACGAGTGCAATCAATTTAATTATACCAGGCACATATTAGACAAATAGCCAAAACTATGAATGCAAAAGAGGAAATACAGCCAAATAGTTACAGCCAATTAAAAGAAAGATCCCTTAAAAAAATCCAGATTGGGTACCGAAAAAAAACTTAGAACCAATTCACACAAAGACCATTTCATTTTAATCTTTTTCAACAACATAACATAACATCACGCCTTTTATCCCCGAAGGGGTAGGCAGAGGTATACATTACGGCAAGTAATGCCACTATACAATGTAAGACTCACTTTTCACTAATTATGTTATGAGTCCCATGTAATAGGGGGTGAGCCTATTGCCATATACCGGGCACTACTCCAGACTCCGTGCTACTACTGAGATTCTTTGAAAAAACCCAGTAATACTTTGCCCGACCCGGGAATCGAACTCAAGACCCCTTGCCCGGCTGTCGCACTTGCGACCACTCGGCCAACGAGGCAGTCGTAATCTTTTCCATTCTTCTTTAAATCCATCCAAAAATGTTCTAGATGACCATTTTTATAAAAAAGCTTGGCATAACAAGCGGTACTTCGGGACAGTTGTCTTTTTACGTCGCCTATTATACGTTGACTAAATATAGACGAGTGGTCGTTAGTCCCAACCGGGTCAAGGACGGTCCCAAATGAGATCATCAATTTTAATTAGACAGCCTTCCTAGAAAACTAGGGTCTGTGATATTCTGTTTGTTGTCTCTAAAAAGAATTTTGTTTGGATTATGTGGTTCAGATTAAAACACATTTTTAGGGGATATTTTCCTGTTCGCACACTGTCAAATCAAACAATCAAAAAACAATCTTGAATGGGACTTTTCTATCCTCTTAGGAAAGCACGTATACCGTAAAGCAAGCAAATAATAATATATACGACTGTTTACACCAAAAAGTGGTAGTAAATCAGTAGGCCCAACTATTTCGTATTTCCGTAACGTTCCGAAATCGGAATACACTTCATTGAACGTGACTGCTTTCCACTCAACTAACTATCGGAAGCCAATTCATCGTTTCCGCACAAAAATATTCCTTGTTGTTAATATTAAAGTGCCATTTAGCGGCCCAATGAATAAAAGATTTGCAAGTTTCTGGCTTACCCGTCCGTTGCTCGTAATTTGCATCATAAATTAAACTTCATAGGGTGTTAAAACTTTTTGGAAGAAAAAAGGTTTTCGTAGGCCGTTCAAATAAAAACTTTCACAAGAAATGGGTCTCTATTATTTTTGACTAATAAGATGTCTATAATCCTTTGTACCTAAATTAACCAGAAACGGCGATTAGAATTAGAGGTAACTATTGATCAAACATTATCAAAAAACTGAAACAGTAATGAAAAAAAAGTATGGCAGCCTAATTTAGTATTCATTACAAGTTCTGGGATTCGAGGACATCGTGTAGAACGCCAGTCACGTCCCTGGCAGGCGGTTTTCAAATTATTTAACCATATTACTTACGTCAATATGAGTGGTTTCTCGTTTTTATAGACCGACCGAAAATGTGGTTACGCAATAGCATACGTTTAAAGTATGTATTGTAACTATTATAATTTGACACGATGTTGATCTACATAATATGAGACGGTGATAAACCGGTACAGTTAATGCGAACGCAGCTTAATTTGTATTCAAGAATAAATTAGAAATATTTTTGACAGTTGATACGACTAGAGGATTAAGATTGAATCTCGATCAGTTTTACTTGATTCTAGAATTAGAAAATGATTAATTTAGAATGACCGGTTAGTTACCAACCCCACATTGTTCGACCATGACAAAGTATCAAGCAATCTTCCTTTTAGTGACTATATTTCGACAACAAAACTGTACGACTCACGATGAATAGAAATACATAAACCGAATTGTAAAGAGACTTAATAGCAGTGTAAAATACAATACATAAATAAAAATATGAATTCATTACAGTAAACGGCTCACAATTTTAATTAAAATGCACGCGTCTAGACGAATTTAAGCTGGCGTTATTTTGTTGCATTACGTCATCTGGCAGTCACCGACCATAACCGTAACTGCAAATTGTGATGTCATTTTGTGTATAATGTATTGATTAGGCGTGTTAATGTTAGAACCGTGCTGGTATTTGTGATGTGTTTTTGTCATTCTGCCTCCTTACAGTCTACCACAGATATAAAAAATGAATTAGCCTACACTTCTACAGAGCCGGGGTTGCGGCAAAGGCTAACCATGTACGTTTTATGTACTTATGTCGGAACGAGTAAGAGTGTTACTCCCTCCTATCTCATCTACGGAAGGAGGGGTTCGTTTCACAATTTTCCATCCTTACATAAAGTCTTCAGTTCAAGAAAACATTTCTTTCTTTCTTCTTTCCCTGAGCCGGAATTCCTGTATCTAAATCCAAATATGAGCATATTTTTGAGAAACGTAGGGTAATTATTGTCAAATGTCAACCATTCCCAATGGATAGTATGCTAAGACATAATACCATTAGTTACCATTATTGACACTTTACACAAAAAATCTTATACTTTAAGAATCCCATACAATTACCTGATATTTGAACC